AAAATAGGATAGTTATATTTAAAGATAAACATTCAAGCTTAAATAGGGTAGAAGATAAAAAATACATCTAATATGTATACATAAAAAATCACCTTTTTGATTTTGAGTAATAGATGATATAGTTTATCCATTTTAGCTTAGATTAGAAAAATTTATTGAGTATTAAAGAAAATGATAGAAATAATGTAATCGGAACTTGAGATTATACAGTTTAAGATTAAAAGTTTATAAAATGTATATAACCAAAGGTTAATTACAGTTTAGTAATAAATAAAGATAAAGTGGTTTATATTCTATAATAATCAAAGCATTTTATTTTTCATTGGGTTATAACTTAGATAAAAAAGCATATTTAAGGGATTAATAAATAAAAAAGTATTTTTAAAGAGCTGAAAATTTTAACCAACCCATACAAATAAATTTCGAAAAATCTAATAAAGGAAAATATTAAAAATAATGAATCTTGTCATAAATTTATTCACATTTAAAATGTAAAATTTAGTATACTGTTAATTTATTTTATACTTCCCAAAAATTAAATTACATTTATATATATATATATATGCAAAATACAAAATGTGTCTCATCATTTTTTAGAATATTATTTATTTTTACTCAAATTCCAATTCGATATGATGGATTCTTTTCTCTAAATTGCTTTTGTCATTACAAGTATTCCCTTAAAATTTATAGAACATAAACATGATTCTTATCCTTATAAATTTATTTATAATGGATAAGATTAATTTTCGATATATTATTGTATCTATTGTAATTTACTTTTCTTTCAGTTCTTCATTATTTTGCGTATATTTTCAGCTTTACTTTGAGATGACCAGATTAACTTTCCTTTTACTCAAACTATTCTATCATTTTTTATGAATTTCATTCAATTGAAATTTATTTAAAGTTAATTCAGATCAAGGTAAGGTGTTAATTCAAATTAAATTTTCAATTTATGAAATATTATTTTTAATAAACATACAAAAAAAGATCTTATTTTAATATTTGCCTGCTTAGTCATGGTCTAAATCTTAAAAAGTTAACATTATTAGAACCACTGGATAAATGGATTTATAAACGAGTCCTTATTGCTGATAATATTTAATAAAAAGCTTAAGAGTGCAAATCAGCTCTTGATAGTCTTTTCAATAATTCATAAATTTACTGAATATTAATTTTGTATAATAAAATAAATTAGGACTTTTATGAAATCGATAACATAATTAAAGGTTTATGTTGAATTGACCCTTGCGAGTCAAGTTTACTAAATTAAATCTAATAGTCATTAGAACAAGTTAAATAGATAGTAAAAGATATTTTGGAAGAACAAAAACAACAAACAGATTTAAGATCAACTGATTATTTATAAATTCAAAAACCTTTAACATAAAAGTATAGATTTTACAAAAACCAAAGCATCTAAATTTCGTAAAACTAACTCTATAGCCATTCACTTTAGAACGGATATAGCAATACCGAATAATATATCCTTAAGTTTCACAGACCAGAGATAGCTTGGACAAGAAATATATTTAAAACTTTTGAAATTAAGCATACATTTTTCCTAAATCTTAAATTATAGGAAAACTCTAAATATATAATAAACATTTTAATCTAACGCAATCCCTAAGTAAGATATATCTACTTAATAAAAGGTTGAGACATCGTAGAAGAATAATGAAATAGTAAAAAGAAGGAACTTTTGTAAATAAAGAATAAATACAAAATTTTTTTTCTAATAAAAACAAGCTTGTTAAAGATGTCGAAGATCTCTCCTTTGATCGAGGAAAATTGAATTGAATTATCGTTATATTAAAGAAAAATCAAAAATATAGTCAATTCCATTATAAAATATCATGATATCTGATCATAATTTTTCTATACTTTATCTCTGATTACTAAATTTTCTTCAAACGTTTATTACTAGTTAAAATTTTCCGTTTTGTTTCTTAACGTAGCTATTCTTAAGCATCCCTTTTTTTAATTACTAAAACATTATAAAGTATTTTTATATTAATATGTTACTTTTTCTTTTTCATTATTTTTGATATGGAAAATCAAAATGCATTTCATATTAATTTTATGATAATATTCTTCATTCAAATGCAATCTTCATGTTAACTATTTTCACTTAGTTTATGAAATCGAATTTGCATAATTAAAAAATATTAATGTGAAATCATTATTTAAAAAGTTTTTTGCATAATTGAAGCAGTCTTTTTTGTTTTTAGTAAACTATTTTTTTCTATGTTTAAATAAAACATTTTCAGGCATTTTATTGTTAAAAGTTAAAAGACATACTGATGCTTTCAAAAGATGAAAAAATGAATTAAATGAAAATTAGAAATTTATTAAATTAACTTTTAAAATATTAAACTATAATAGTTAAATATTTGAATCTTGTTATTATTAATTCATGAAAAAATAGGATGGTTTAAAATTATTGAATGGTGAGATATAATACATAAAAAGGATGTTTAATAAAACATAAATTTGTAAGATAAATTCAACAAGTAATGAATGATTCAATATTATCATTTTAAAATTAAAGGGATATGAAAATTATTCGACTCAGAATTAAAAAAAAATTATTTCAATTATGCATCTCTTATAAATGAATAGAATAATAGATAGAATTGTCAAAAATAATAAAAATTTTGAAAATAATTGTAATATTTTATTTTTGATGTTCTTGAGAACCAATTTTCACCCTTACTTTATTGTTATTGAGCCTTCCAAAAAACAACTTCCTTTTGATTTAAATAATGATTGTAAATCAACTCCTTAATAATTTACAAATTAGCCTTTGAGAATTAATGCACCTTAAGCTTAAAATATTGGTTATTGTGACATTATGAGAATAGTTATATAAGTTGCGACTAATAAAATAAAAACTAATTTTACCTTGAGGTAGAGGATCGTATAAAAATATTGGAGTGTTAAATTTTATGAATAAATTTTTGAGATTTTTATGAGAGGCTTCAATTTCCTTACTTGTCTTAACATTCCATAGACGTATAGAGTTATCATAGCTACCAGATACTAAAGTAGTACCATCAGGAGAGAAACATACTGAGTTAATACAATTGCTAAGACCATCTAATTTTGCATTTTATTATCCTGTGCTAACATCCCATATATGAATAGAGTTATCTCCACTACCAGATGCTAATGTACTACCATCAGGAGAGAAGCATAATGATGAGACCCATTAAAAATGACCAACTAATTTGGCTTTTTATTACCCTGTTTTAACATCCCATAAAAGTATAGTTTTATCTGCACTACCAGATGCTAATATAGTACCATCAGGAGAGAAGCATACTGAGAAGACATAATTACTATGACCATCAAATTTAGCTATTTATTATTCTGTTTTAACATCCCATATACGAATAGACTTATCATAACTACAAGATGCTAATGTAGTACCG